CTGATTATCACTGGTAATGCTCCTTTCACCAATCCTACATCCGATGGTCCTTGTGACCACAACTGTTCGGGTATTCGTTTTGTGAGCAGATTTTCTTCTTCCTCAGTCAAGTAAATCTGTCAATCACTCGCCTCTGTCATGTGCGTTGCTGCTTTCACTGGAGTCGTCCAAAACAGGTTAGTCCTATACATGCCTGTGCTTGGGCTGTAATAGGTTTTGTCTTTTACAAGCTGCCAGTCTTGTGTCCTCTGTCCTTGACTCACTAGTTTGTCTAAATCTTTCCATTGTGATGCTTTTTCTTTGTATAGTGAGATATGGGGTGGACTAAAACTTCTGTGCTCTTTTTCTAGGGCAGGAGGAAGTTCTGCTAGTGCTGCTGCACTACTTTTCCCATCTGAGTACAGATATGACACTGTGATAGTAGTTGGGGTCAACTTTTCCAAGTTTTTGAAATACTGAACATCTGGACCTGGTCTATTCATGTATTTCATTGTTACATGAAGTTCATCTGCAGTGTGTTTGTCATGGACTTGCTGTAGGTGTTGTTTAGCTTTTTGTAAAAGTTCTTCTCTTACTTTGGCTGGGGGCTTGTTTGGGATCTCTAATGTGTAATAATATGTAGGGGTATCATGGCCTTCTAACACCATGAGAGATATCTTTTCTCCTAGTCTTTTCACTGTTATTCCTTCAGCAGTCGGCACGAGGGACAGGCCTAAATTAACAAGTCCATCTCGTCCCAACAGGTTTACTGGACAGCTGGGCATAATGAGGATGGACATTTGGCACGACTTCCCATTTGGGTCTCTTATCCAGATGGGACAAGATTCTGGAACTTTACGCAAATTTCCCTGTGCTGATCTCACTAAGATGGAGGTGTTACTCTGCTGTACCCCCATTATTGGTTGTTTAAGTGTGGTTCTACACGCTCCACTGTCACACAAGAACACCACATCCTGTCCATTTACTTTTAATGTCACTTCCGGTCTTACTTTTTCTTCAAACAAAATGTCTTCCAGGTTCATTACTTCTGTCTCTGCCTCGCTCTCTTTTCCTTCAGAATAACCTGATTCTAGTCATGCTGAACTAGAGGGGTTATTTTGAGGGCTGCTTCTACAGTCTCTAGCCATATGTCCCTCTTTTCCACAGGACCAGCAGGCCCTGGGATTTCCCATGCTCCTAGAGAGTCCTCCTCTCCCTCTTCCCCTGCTCCTTCCTCTGCCTCTTCCTCTAGCCTGTGGGTTTTGCCAGTAAACAGCATTTTCATCCTCTTCAACCCAAAAGGTTGCTTTTTCTGTTGCTTTAGTGTTCTTTTTAATTTTTGTTACTCTTTCCGCATGGACTGCATGTGTTAAGTAATCTGACAGTGTTCCATTTGGGAGACCTATATAATGTTTAGACACCCAATGGTGTTTTTGTGAGGTTGAGCCTGCATGCAGTGCGTTTTTTAACTGCTGTTGGTATGGGCCATTCTCATCACCGTTATCCA